GTATCTCTATTGAAAAGTAGCATCTTCTGGGATATACCGCCGTGTAGTCCGTTGAAAGACATTTCGGAGGAACATGTCACCTCCATCTTCAGGGTCGAAGAATAAGTCGAACAAGATACCAGCACGAAAGCAGATAAGCAAAAAAATAAAATAAATGGACGTAAAACGTTCTATACTTGTGTCACAGAGGTGACTAGTTGGTATTTCAGTCGGGTAATAGGGTATTGTGACTGAAGTTTATCGTGGATTTCCTCAGTCTCTCCATAGCAATGCCAAAATAGTACTTCGATTAGGCCACGATAGTGGCCCCCTAATTGTTTCCGATTCATTTTCCACCAACCCTCCTACCCTTCGGGGCTAAATTATCTCTGAGGCGTGACACACCCTCACATGAAGCACAGGAAATCAGAATATTCGTTGAATTGAGGCCCAGTTCGGGGCTGCACATAGCACAAAGGCCTGTAAATTCTCCTGGGGATTTTCCACTTTGATACCGCTGAGACTCCCTCCCCCTCCCCGTTCTCACTTCCGACTTCCGAGCACAGGCTGTCTTGTGGGCTGTCTGCCTGGTCTTGGTCTAATCGAGGCACATGAACCTCATTCAGTACAGCCGTCTTCCTGGCTGAGATTCGAACCGAGCACATTCCGAATACGAGACTAGGGCCTTATTGCCTCCCAACCCATTATCAGTCACAGTAGTACAAAGTTTTACATTACTGGCTTCTACAAGGTGACGCCATGTATACTGGGAGATCGCTACCGACGTTTCGGACGAACGTGCAACTTCCTCATTTAGGGTCCACCCTGAAAATGGAGGAAGTGTGTTCTTTCGAAACGTCTGTAAGTATCAGCAGACTACACGGTGTCATAGCGTTGTATTTATTGCATTGAGAATCTCCAGCACAAGAATTATTTTCTTTTGCGAAACAATATTTATTAGTTCTCACTGGCCCAAGCCTTAAGACAAGCAGCTCTCTCTCTTACGAACGAGTGGCCGAAGTAATGTGAATAACACTGTGACGATGACTGTCAATTATCCTCTTTTATCTGAGGCTCGGCTGTATCTCCGTCCTGACTCATTTCGGTCTAATCGATAAACCTCTTCCATATCTCCAGATATCTGAGCCATCAAAAGGCAAACAGTTGAGTTATTTAGTTAAGCACTATGCCATGAAGACAGAGAGGATTGGAGGTATAGCTCCACCTTTCTTGACCTCGACACTAGATGGAGGTGAGGCCCCTGTATCCTCTGGAGAGGAGCTTGGGTGAGCCCCAGAGTCGGTCTGTACGACGTCGAGAGGAGAAAAATATTGAATTGACGGGAATCGACTGAGGTCTCCCGACTCCAGAGGCAGGATATATAAAACACAACATAAGTCACCTGCAGGTGTTCTGGCAGAAATTTGGGACGCCAAATGCATGAGACCTTGTACCTGTGGCCACGAATAACATAAAGGCCAGACTGCATACAACACGACGACGAATGAAGTCCAAAAAGTCAGTCATTGCAAATAACTGAAAGATTTACCTACATGCAGTCCGCCATGTTAGCAAGGCTAGTGAGAGAATTTTATTTGTAAACACAAGGCTCAAAATCAAACTTGTAAAGGTAACGTTTATTTATTTTTTTTAGAATAAAAACGAATGTTTAACCTGTAGAACTTCTTTCAATCAGATTGTAAGGTTAGGCTTTTGGTATTGTTTCTACAATAAGACTTCTATGGTTGGTAGCATTAGCGTGGCTGGCAACATTGCGATATCATTTAGAAGTATCCCACCGATACACAAGTAACTAGATGATGGTCATATCCCATCAGACACAGGTATTTTGGGTTTGTCGATTTATAATTTAGGCACTAGAGAAAGCGTACTTAATCACGTAATAACATTCTCACTGTTTGCCATGTGCCTTTCATACACACACTCGCACAGTGTAAACACCTGCCTCATTTTCACTTTCACGCTTACTAATAGAGCAGGTTGTAAAGAGAACCGGATGTTCAGTTGTGACAAATCTCGATTCTATTTCCGTAAGAACTGTAACAAATATTATCCTATCTTCTGTTCCTGTAGGTCGACTTCATTCAGGCTTTCCAGAGCAGTTACCTCATTTTAACGAGTCTACTCAGCTAACAGCCGCCATGACCGAGTGACGTAACGTGTGTCAATAAGTGACATCTTACAATCAGTGTGTAAACTATTGGGTAAAGCAATGCCTTGGAGCTGTGACACAAGTTCAAACCGTCTGAGGCTTCCCTCTGTCTACATGCCACGTATCACAGCGGCCTCCCTAGGATCACTTGGATCGAATCCCGGTTGGTTATTTGGGACATTTGTGTAATTATTGTTCTTTCCCATAATTAAGCACTACGTCATGAAGATGCAAAGGAAGTGGGGTTATAGTTTATACGCATGCTTAACCTCGACATTAGAAAGAGGCGAAGTGTCAGCTTCACGCCCCGGCAGATTTACTGCGGAACAAATACACCAGGGCAGAGGAAATAATCAAATATTCAAGAATCCAGCGAGAGAAGCAACGGAAAGTAACACTGGCCTAACTCATTCAACAATGGCTCTACAGCCCTTTGTTGGGCTCAGACCTGTTCTTCTGTTTCGTAATCCTGTACGCAGTAAGCAGGACTCCTAGGACGGGGATCAGCCCATCGTAGGGCCGCCAATTACACACAGAACAACACAAACACGATTATACGCGGACAGACATACATGCCTCGAGTGGCATTCGAACCCTCGGCCCCAATGATTGAAGGGGCGGCCACCGTTGCGGGCACTCACCAAACTCACCCAAATAAGTTTGTACGAACCTTCATAAAGACAGCACCCTGGACGTAAGGTTGGGGGAAATGGAAAGGAGAAGTATATTCCTCCTCTGCCGAAAATCGAAAACCAATTCTTCGGCCTCCAGCTCGTAGCCTACTCGTTATACCAACATATATATGTACAGTGAGTGTTGTTCTAACACTTTCGCACCTTTACTTCCTTCTCTCCTTTCTGCAGTTCTCTTATCATTAACCTCTGTAAAGTTGGGGCCACAACAGCGACCGCCGACGGCCCCCGATTGGGACTACATAGGCTCGCTCTCAAGTTCAGGGAGGCGAGTTATGAACCAATTCAGTTGATAATGTGACTTTACATGAGAAGTTTCACTGGACCTTATAAAATGACTCCCATATTTGATTCCAGAATCCAATGATGTCCTTTGGGATGTGATACCGTCTAGCCAGGTAGAAGTTTGACGACGTTTCGGATGAACGTGCTGCCTGCATGATACGGACAGGTCTGCAGGGTGAGGAAGAGCGAACCAGCAGAAGTAAGGAGGGCCGCGCCATAGCTCAAGATGTTAGTCGCTGCCTTCGTCTGGTCAAGTGGGATTTATGGTGGACAAAGTGGCGCTGGGGCAGGTTTTCTCCGAGTACTTTATTCCACCAATTGCTCCACAGTCACCCTCACCTATCATCTGGGGCTGGTACAATAGGCCAGAAGTGGCCGCAGCACAAGGGACTTAGTCCCACCCCACTAGCAATAAAGAAAACAGAAGGAAGGAGAGCTCTACTGCCATGAAAATGGACGCAGAATGTCAATCATGCACGTCTGTAAGCTTTTGCGCCTGCGCCATGCTGCATCCTAGAAGGCGAGAATATTCGTAGTGGCCCCCGTGAGGACGTACACGCCTCAGTCTGCAGCGGATCCCCTGAAACCAGTGGCAGCAGCCGAAACGCGAGTGTAGGACAGAGGCCAAGGCGGCCAAAGCAAACTTCTAATATCCCTTCGGCATAGGGAAACTGTGATAACATTCCTCGTTATGTTTGGAGCGCCACCTCAAAAATCTGATTGCAAGATAATTTCCGGTTACCGTTTTGTTTTAATCAAGAACCCTGAGGTTTTCTTCAGCCCTCCCAAGCAACTGTGGCACGTCGCGACATATCTGTAATCGACGGTGATGAGAATCTCAGATCGTTAAGAAGAGATTTACTTCGCACGAGCCCAGTCTGGATACATGGCTACTTTTCACGAAAGCGACCCTATTTGACTTTCTTTGTGGTTCTTTTCTAATTGTGGGGTGAATGTTGACTTGAATAGGATTTGTAAGAAAGCGATCGTGGCCTGTCTTCCGGTATTTGCTTTGACTGACTGACTGAAGAAGAACCAGAGAAATCCCCAACCAGTGTGCCCCAGCCGAGCACCTCCTGAAGACGAGTCTCGAATTTTGCCGCTGTATCACTCTGATCCGTATTTACTCCAGAAGCAGAGAACCTGTTCCTTTAGTTACGAACCTGACTGACCTTATGTTTTCTTTCGAGTTTTAACACTCTTAAGGCGCGTCCACACTACTTCAGTTGCTCGCCAGGCTTCGGCGCGTGAGGATCCGTATATTTACTCGTAGTGTGTATAGGCTGTAGTCGTATTTTAATTTACTGGCTATAGTTTTTAAATTAAAAATTAAAAATTTGTCTCGTGACTTGTCTTATCGTCCACATTACTCGCGAGCATAGCGAGTCACACGAGCACATGTAAAGGCCTACAAGCTTCAGTAACTGAAGAAAGAATACAACTTTCCCCAGCCCCAGAATGTGTTTATATGTTTCTTATGGTTCTCGCAGTAAACAGCGCTTGTTTCCATACAGAGCGTGAACCGGTTGCTCTTACTAACGGAAACGTGGCGTGGTGCCCCTGGAATGGAAACTGAACTTGTAAAAGAAGTTCGGGTAAATTACAGGCCCTCAAATATAGGTTGGCAGGAGTGAAACTTGCAGTGGAAGCTTCTACTGCTGACAACATACACAAAATTCTGTTCTCGAAATCAGTAAGTCACGATTAATTCGAAAGTCCCAAATCCTGCATTTTCCTGTACATCTACCCCGATCTGCTGACCTCTCAGAACCTCCAGACTAAAAAACAGCAACTGAATTATGCAAATCAAATACGAAAATTTTCAGACGTGGCAAGACACACGCTGTCAGTTCTCCACTGCAATCACTTACCGTGGTTGACTTTCCCTTGCTCAGATATAAGCATCTGGACTGCTGAAGTTCCCTCGGGACTGGCAGGAGTCTTCCTCCATGGTTTCACGCCGAAAAGTCTGTTCTTGGCGGACTGCCCCACCTTCAGATACTGTTTATGGAGCCCCATATTCAGTCCCCAGGCCTGCTTCGTAGGTTAATAAGATTTCAACATGATTTCAGTCCTGTTAGATCACTGCAAACCCTTCTAACCACTACTAAACAGATTGTCGTTGTGTTTATGTCAGTAGTTGTGATATTTCCGGTTGTCCTGTTGCGATCTGATTTCCAAGATTAACAAATGAAGATTGTGCACTATACTCAACTTACACACAACATGATCTGTTTTCTTTAAATGTTTATGATGTTTTGCTATGACACTGACTGTTCCATCACAGTATTTTGTTTAATGCGATCCGCCATGAGGGATCGGATTTGTCTTGCAGAACTGCAAAGTGCCTGATTCACCCAGCAACCACACGAAAATGCAGATACGTGTAACGTTAAAACCACAGAATGTCAGTAAATTTTATAAACAACGTTACACGAAAATGAATCCTTCCTATATCGAATATGACACTTATTCGAGATAGATAAACTTTCTTTGTAGATGATACACTTGTGAGAACCATTTGACTCCACTTCAGATATCTGCATTAAACAGCGTGACTGGCAAGAAACTTTAATTTCGCTAATATTTTGCACTTTGTCCAAGCTACAAGTTGTAACACACGATATTAAACTTCCAATAAACTAATCAATTTATTTTGTTTCCTTCAGTGTTTTAGGTTACGTAAGTTTGCCTTGTGTATTCTTCAAGCACAATATAACAAAAAATGTCTCGTGAATTCATTCAAATTTTCGTGTTTACTTGCACTGACACTCAGATATCTTGTTTCGCTTCGGCCGCTATGGTAACTGGAGGTCGCAGTTGCGATGTTGAGCTGTCTTGTTGACCGGGGCTACCACCGACATGAGTCTGAAACAGAGAGTGGATCACTTGAGACCACACACCACTTACTCCCCCCTCCATTTTTTTTAGAGTTTGGATCACTGCATGAGTGCCGGCAATAAGTAGGCCAAATGTCTTCCATATCTCCCTGCCCCTCCCCCAACAACGTTACGTTCCCACCTGCCTCCCCCGTCTTACTTGCGGAACGCAGTGACACACTGCAGTTATTTATACTAATCTGAATATTGTTGTTTGGTCAGAGACAGCGGGACATTCCGAAACGTAGTGCCCTACACAACCATCACATATCATGGTCATACAACATCACTTCTTACATAATTTTTGTGAGAGGATAATATTAAAACGGATCTGAAGAAGAGAGATTATGAGGATATGGGCTGGATTGATGTGGCCAGGATAGAGACAAGCGATGGCCCTTTGTGGATATGGTAATGGAGAACTTTGTCTGACTGGTGAACTGAGCTAACATTTGGTCACCTGAGTGTGCTGTGTCCATCAGCATTTGGATGTGAGGTTAGGGAACCAGCGGTGGGACAGACCCCGCTCTGATAGCTCACAATTGCAAGCCTGTGGGGACAGTACGACGCATTACCTCATTTCGCACAAAATTTGAGACGATTTGCCTATGCACATTGAATTTTCGGTTTCTTGCTTTAGCTCCTTGGGGTGCGGTGAGACTGACTTGGTTGCCCCAATTTTCTTTCTCATAACTCTCCGGCACGGCCCGCCAGACAACACCGTTCATTCCCCTATGCGTATCCGTTGCCGCGGGGACGTGTTTACTGAACCGTTCCCTAGCAGCGGCCGTCTATTCTTGCTTATTAAGAATCTTCTGCCTAGCAAAGGACATCGCTCCGTTGTCTGTTTCTCGGCCGTTGCCTATAAACGAACGTTGTTTCAGAGCTGTTCACTAGCAACGTCCGTCTCACTGGCTTCACAGTTTCTCTGTTGAGCAAATAAGACTCAATGCCTATTACCTAAAACATTTTTCTGTAAATCTGAGGTATAAATATTCTGTATTTAACGGAAACGGTGTTCTTTAGATATTTTGAAATTGTATAGCATATTAGTTACATAAGGCTCAATTTAAAAATACTCAAACCTGGAAAATAACTCGGTAACCGAGTTGCCGACCAACCAAGTATCGGAAACTTTTCTTTTAAATTCGCTTAGTGGGGGGTGGGGGGTGGAGTCCAACCGGGTCCACTCGGTACGGCGGCCACTGATTGGCCTATTGTAGCCTGCCCCGGGTGATTATGATGACGGAGAATTTGGTGGAATGAAGATTGGCAGGGCAAACCGAAGTACTCGGAGAAACCTGCCCCAGCGCCACTTTGTCGATCACAAATCCCACTTGACCAGACCCGGGATCGAACCCGGGCCGCCGCCGTGGGAAGCCAGCGACTAACCGCTTGAGCTATGGCGCGGCCTGCCGGTAACTTACCCACCACTCAATCAGTCAATCACGTGACGTTTGGGGAGGGACTGCGGTACCATCCCCTGGCGACAGATGAGCAGAAAAAGACAGAGGCTTCAGATGTTTGGCAGGGTCCGTGGAAGGACCTTTGCAATTATTGTAATGTGGGACTGTGGATTCTTTCATCCGTGACCGTTGATGAAAACGGGAGTTACAACGGCTTAAGAGACTGTTAAATAAACAGCGCTGTGGAATTAAGTTGTGGGTGTTCACCCCAATTCCAAGCCCTGCTACCCAGTAGAACCCCCCCCCC